CCGTTAGCACGATAACTCGAGCAAAAATGATCCGATTTTGATGAAATTTGGTACAAACGTGTAAACCTACGTTTATTCGAACGAGTTCGCAATCCAGCATGATCGGACCATGGGAACAGGGGTTTACGGGGGGTTTTATGGGGTAAAAATGGGTTTTTTCCCATTTTTGACCCAAAAAACATAAAATTTAGCAATTTCTTTTCAAACCATTTTGTAGAGCTTAAAAAAACAAATAATTTAGTATATTGAAGCGTTATTATGCGCCTAATTGTTACGGAGAAAATTCCAAAAAATTGTAAATTTAAAATTCCCATGTTATCCTTATGGAGAATAAGTAAGCTGTTGTAGTTTGCTTGTTTATGAACATATTTTGATCAAATTTGGAAAATGTTTTTATTTCTTACTAACTATCAACATTTTACAAAATAAAAAAACAGTTTTACCCTCCCTGATGCAGCAAACCTAAGTACTTGTTAAACTAATTCTATTTAAATGGGGAATAAATGTAATATTTTTAAGTAGACATTTTAGTGTAAATCCAATCAGTCAAATGGAAATTCGCTTAGTCTGCAGGTTTGCTGCGGCGGGGGTATTTTATTGTTGTCTTTGCTCTTGCCTTCTTGTTTTATTCTTCTTTTTATTTCATTTTCGATTCGTTTTCTTTCCCTAGCTGCTTCTTTTTCATTCTTGTCATCCTCCCTTTTCTTTAAATATTCTTTGTACGGCGCGGAAGTAACTACTGCAGGAAGCCTCTCTTTTTGTTTCCTTTTTTTTTGAGTAGATGTACTTGGTTCAGGCCATAACAGACATCTATTGAAGGGTGATGGGATGTTAGAAGGTGAGCTGCTGAATTTTTCTGGAGTAGCCTTTGAGTGTGCACCTATAGCAAGGTCAGACGTCACATCTAAAATCACCTCGATATGTTCTGAATTTCCTTCAATGTTATTTACAACGTTCTGCATTGACGTTTTCGTTGGTTAGAGTGCCATGCTGGAAATGCTCTTCTGCAACAACCTGAATTAGTTCTGAATTTGTTAAATTATGCTGCTCGGCGGTCGGCTGAATGTCCTCAGTACTTGCCAGGATATTTCCTTCCTCCTCGTCCATCAATAGGTCACCAATGTTTTCAATTTCTTCTTCACTATTTCTGATCCCAAGTAAATTTTCAATTTCCATAATAACATTATTTGCAGATAAATCTGCAACGTTTCCCTCTATTGTATCATCATCAATGTTGTCCTCAATTCTGTCATCAGCAAATGTGTCAACAGGAATGACGTCCTCATCCACTACTTCACTGTCACCCTCTTCAATTTCTGTTACTTCTTGTGCAGTCTGATTTTTATTTTGTTCACGTTCTCGCTGATTTTTTGCTTTCGCATCTGCTAATTGTTTATTCATGTCAGCCACGTCTTTGTTGATGGTTTGCCATAAGGCATACAGCGATTCATCTGTTGTTTCGACCTGAACTGAAGCAAATCTTCTAACTTTGTCCACACCGATCTTTGTCTCAAAGTATTGCAGATGTCCCTTCACCTCTTTCAATTTCATTTCTAGACTTTGAGCTGAAGGAGCAAATTCTTCTTTCTTCAGCAACTTTTCATATTTGATCTTGTCCGGGTCCAGGTTAGCCAATCCAGTTGAAGAAAATCCATTTTGGATAGTCTCTTTTTTCAAACATTCTTTTATGACTTTCTCTAGATTAGGCGAGAATTCTTCCCTTTTCATCTTTCTGCCCCCGTTGTCAAAGCGCCATTTCTGAACGAACTTTTTCTAGGACGACTTTAAAGGACTAAACACAGCCACGTCTAAAGGTTGCATTATATGCGTAGCGTTAGGGAATAGTGCTACTAGTTCTATTTGGTTCTTCTGGCAGAAGTCTGATAGGTGGAACGTTAAGTGAGACGTGTGGCCGTCGATAAATAGGACCACGGGAAAGGTGATGCCGTTTGCTACGAGCCAGGGATGGGAGACAATCGTTACGTATTCAAAAAATGTCTCACACGTCATCCACCCTGACTCGGACTTCCCTATCCCCCAATTATCTGGCATGTTATTTACAATGTAGCCTGGGATTCTCGCGTATGGGAAAATGACCATTGGTGGCACAACGTCCCCAGCGGCATTCGCGTTTATTAAGACGGTTAAACATTCTTTCTCGTCGTTCCCACTTACGGTGTGCACCCTTTTTTCTCCCTTTTTAACGAGAACCTTTTTACCTTGAGGGCTGAGGTAAAAAGCGGTTTCATCTGCGTTAAAGACTCTTTTTTTGTCTTTAAACACATACAATAGGTTATTCTCCTCTATGTATAGTTTAACTTCATGGAACCAGTTCCTGATCTGCCCTTCTGTCACACCTGCTCTTGACGTGGTTAGCAGTTGGGTCACACGTTGGGAGATTTCAGGGTGCCGCTTTAAGAATAACGAATACCACTTCTCCCCGGGAATTGAATCAACCAATGGGTTTACCCTTTCCAAGTCTTTCACCAATTTTGCGACCGACGATATTAGTTGGTCTTTATTGATGGGGAAACCTCGGTTAGCCATCTGTACCACCCACTGCACTAACAAATCCTCCTCTTCACTGGACAGTACAGATGGTCGACCAGCCTTTGAGTTTACTCCATATTTCCCATTTATTTTATCCTGTAAAGTGGACTTTGGTATCCCAAAAGATTTTGCGGCGGCAGCAATTGATATCCCCTCCCGTCGAACTGCATCGATGGCCTTCTCTACATCGTCGATGGAGTATTTCTTCGCTGGTCTAGTTGGAGTCGGCATCTTTCCTGTGAACAAAATAAGTAACTATGCTAGGGTGAAGTTTGGTAACATATACCTTTTTTATATATATATATGTGTGTGTGTGTGTGTGTGTTATTAAATTCACGAGGAGAACTGGTACTCGATAAAATATTAATAAATTATCCTGGGAAAACCAACAGTGTTAATACAGTCTCTACCGTCAAGCGGGGTAATTCTGACCCCCCAGGGGTAACATTGACCCCGGGGTCAATTATTTTTATTATATTCTTTTTTATATAGTAGGTTATAAATAAATTGAAAATAAAAAATATGATAAATTTCAGTAGTTTGGTAGCAATTTGAAAACAAATAATATTTAGCAGAAATTAGTTTTATAACAATACAAAAAAAATATCATACAATCATCTACAATACAGCTGTATAATTTCATAACAAAAAACTTTTTCAGCCCAGCAAAAACTGTTGGTTCTGGCACTGTCAGGATTTTATATGGTAAAATATATATGTTTTTAGGAATATTTGAGCACTTATTACAAGCAAATAAAGAAAATTTAATAAATTAATAATTATTTTTTAAGGCCTTGTAACATTGACCCCTTATTTTTTTTTGCCTTCGGATAACTTTGACCCCTCGTTATAATTCCAAGTTACTAATTAGTAATTAGCCTACACATCATTTTTATTAATTCTGGTATATTTAATTTAATTGATTTATGTATATAATGTAATAGACATACTAAAAATGTTGATTTATAATTGTTTTATTTTTATCTATGAAGTTGAGGTAAAAGCAATCTGTGGAAAGCGAGGAAAACAACACTTTAACCAGGTCTCTGCCTGTTAAGTTAAAAAAATTAACAGTTTGTTGAAGTAATGTGACTTAATTCTGTTAACACTAACTATGGGGACAAATTTACATCCAAAAGAAAATAATGTGTTTTCTATTCTGCCCCATCTGTAGATCTGATTGGTAAGTTGCCGGGAACTCTGGAATCTAATGGGCGCAAAATTTTCTATAACTTTTTTGGAAGGGTTTGAGTAAAGGAAATTTAATGATTTTAGTCACTAATAACTTGTAGTTTTGATGTTTTACCTTGGTGTTACATCCTAATCATGTGATAAAAAAAATTGCTAATTTGATTTATTCCATCATTAGCCTAGGTGAGTTCATAAAATTTTTTTTTATGTTCACTCCTTGATGTTGTTACCACTCTATTGTTCTTAAGTAACATTGACCCCTTTTACAGGGGTCAAAGTTTCATTGTACACTAGTAACATTGACCCCAGTGCTTTATTATGTATAATTTTAGTATAATAAATGTAGGGGGTCAATGTCACCCCAAGACACGGGGTAACATTGACCCCTTTTATAATTTTTTTTATGACTAACATATGACAATAAAAAACAAAATAATTACTGGTAGGTATTCACACAGTACCTGTATATCATTTAAAAATATATTGTGAATATTAATCAATATAAACAAAAATTAATCAACAAAAACATCAAAAAAGGGGTCAATCTAACCCCGGTTGACGGTAGTGTAAGTTAATACAAATCTCAAAATATCACTACGTCCTAAATCTTACTTAAAACAAGTCAATATAACGCAACGCCGTAATCCCGGTTTTGCCGACCGGAATAACGCGATGCTACATTGTTTACACCCTAAACCCGGTCGGTTTATTACTCTAACAGTTTTCGGAATTACTCATTATAAATCACATGATAACAAAGTATTCACATATGGAATCATAAAAACAGGTAGTTTATTTGACGTATTTCACAAAAGTTTAAGTGAAATCTTATTTCTCTTACCTCTATCCTTAGCAGTTAGCTCTAGAGATGTTGCATTTTCTCCCGCCAACGTTGTAGTTCGTCCTTCCAAGACCAACAAATATTTTACTTCTTCTCACTCAATCTTCAATCCAGTACGGTTAGAAACTAGATTAACCTCGAAAACGACCAACGACAATATCTTATAGATTCAAACCATACAATCCTTATTTTTGGAGCTGTAAACTATACGACCGGCAATTGGTGGCAACCGGAATTAGGGTGGTTTACCTTAATATTGAAAAATGAGAGGTGATTGAAAGTGCCAGAGGGTGGTGGATTCAGAAAAACTATTAAGATCAATTAATTGTTGTAGGCCGGCAGTAGTCGTATATAGCTTAGGTGGCAAAATGTAGGATAAAACCTTAACTCAACCTACGAGCGTACGAGGTGTACTAACCTAAGGCTCCTCCTAAAAGTAATCTTGTTATTTTATCTCCAGGTAAAGTCTTGAAGCCAAGTTGAATTTCTCCACGTTTTAAAGAAAATAACTGAACCACTCCATCATGGTCACCAACTGCTACCTAAAATCAAACAATTTGTGGAATCAAATTGAATAAATCTCTTGAATAAATAATTCTGAGTGTAATTAAGGCCTGAATGTTAGTAGTAAGTCTACTGATCACTGATCCAACTAAACACCAAAGTTACGTGTAAGTAGCCTACAGTACTGTGTCAAACAGGATGTCAATTTTACAGTTTTTAACACGTTGACTGCGGCCTACTGCTATATCAGTAGCACGAAACTGGCACTGCTCGCGGCCTACTGCAATATCAGTAGTGCGCTCACCCGGCAAATATTGCGTCTGTCTAAACCCAGCACTCGGCTGGCGATAATGTGATTGTTGCCAGGAATACGAGCTTTATTTTAGTGTAGGTTGGTATTAAAAACTCACGTAAAATCCCGTCTGGCAATGCTTTTGTCCCGTTTTCAGGGATTTTCTCTGTTAGAGCCATATTACAAAGACTCTGGTTATTGATCCCTGAGGCAGTGCTGCTCACTTTGGGTGTCTCAGTGAACTACATCCACTTTCAGGGTAACGCAGAACAATCACCACTGCTCTTTTGTGATTCGTCTTACAGAGATATTTCAATGCCAATAGCGATCGCTGATTCAGTAGCGCGCCGGGGCTCCGCCTGCAGTTTAGGGAGTGACATAGTAAAGGTTTTCAGCAGTCAACGTTTATGGCAAGAACAAGTTTATAAATTCACCTCCGTCTCTTTGAATAATAGAGTTCTGCCGACGAAACTTCAAAAAATTACTTCATCCTCCAAATCGGCCTAACCCCTGTTTGAACTTTGAAATACGGTGTTGGCCTATACATACATCAAAATGTATTGTAAAACTTTGAAATTTCATAAGATTCCTCTCTGGACTGCATTTATTTTTAGTTATAAATAAGGTAATGGGTAGACTTCCGTGTCTGTTGTCAAAAACAACCGAATGAAAATATTGATCGATATATCGATTATTCAATATCTCATTTGGTTAGTTAGGTTAACCTAACTTAAACTAACCAAATTATATATCGAATGAAACAATCGAACAATCAACATTTTCATTCGGTTGTTTTTGACAACAGATAAGGAAGTCCACGCCAGGTAATTTATGTCATATTTGATTAGCAACCTCATGGGTTTAAAATTACCCAAATTACTGTGTGGTTTGCAAATGCTAAGTTATACTGTAAGTTGAAAGACGTTAATTCTGGGACACTTTTAATAAGAAATATTTACCTTTTGAGCCATTTTCTGTATATTATTAGGCAATAGTTTCATACAATGTGGTGAAGTTAATCCAAGAAGTGTATAATCAACCCTGGTTAGTTCCATTTTATAAATATAGCCTGTAGCCTATAAGTTAGATTGTTCAATAATTTTACACTCTGAAAGACACAAACTAGATTGATAGAGAGGCTTTACAGCTTATTAAAATGAAAACTGTTTGCAAGTAAGTGACTTGTCTTGTGCTGTTGTACGACATTTATTTAGACAACTCAAGTAACTTATCTCAGTAACGAAAAACGAAAGACTTAAAACTACCACCAACACCAAGCACCAACCAACTAACTACACAACAAAAACCAGCTGGTGTGTTGCTATGGTAACATGGTAACAACTAATTTATCACAGTCAATGCTAACTGAATTATTCGGGGACAGCTCACTTACTCTACAGATCATAGACTATACGAGCTTTTTAAATAATATTGAAGGTTCACTTGCACTACAGGCTCGTATACTATACGAGCCTATCGAAAATAAAAATTAAATGAAGAGGGTTCACTTACTCTACAAATCATTGTGCCTATGAGCCTCGTGTATTATATTTAAAAATACAGTAGGAAGGTTCGCTTACTCTACAGATCATAGTGACTATGAGCCAAGCTTACGAATTATTTGATAATTCAGGAATCGGCTCGTATAGTATACGAGCCAAAATAATGAATAATATAAATTATAGGAATAGGCTCGTATACTATACGAGCCTGCAGAAAAATATTAGATGGCTCACTTACACTACAGATCATTGGCACAATGATCCGTAGAGTAAGTGAACCCTCTTCAAAATATTAGATGGCTCACTTACTCTACGGCTCATTTAGCTACTCGTTGCGCGGTTTGCGTTCGTGAAACTCTAGGCGCTATGCCCGGCTTCGACTGCTGCGACTGCCTACATAAGTGTATTGCATCACCTCAATTATTTATTAAAACGAAATAAATATGTATGCACAAGTAAATTTATTACATTTTTGGACTGAATACTTTAAAAATGGAGGGAGCATGACTTTTATGTTTAATTAAATTAAAAGTTATAGAATAAAACATATTTTGACTATGTGATTTGATCATGTTATATAATACACACTTGTATGATCCAGATACAGAGCTACAGACAAAACCTGTGGTCCGATTTAGATTAAATTTTGTATCTGGATTCATCCACGAGTCACTAATTTTTTAAGCACGGGTTGAGAAATAATGGCAAAAATTTATAAAAACAGTTCATCAGTTTAGAATATTTCTCAGTTACTGTGAGTTGCAAAAAAGTGTATACAGAAGCATTTGTGTTCACAGAAAATATAGAGGACTAGATGTATACAGAAGATATATTAAAATACAATACGCATACAACTATCAACGTTTACATATGTAAAATTAATGAATTTGTTGTGGTATTGAGTATTTTTAACATTATGACGAAGCCTTAACAAAATATATTTTTTTAAGGAGTTCTAGGGTGTTAAACTATATTGTATTTATCTTTTGTGGAAGATTCTGTCCACGATTTATGATTGCTAACAATTTAATACAAAGATTTAAGTCTCTGTACGTGAAGACTAAAAACACGAAACAAACTTTAAAGGGATAGAAAAGATTTGATCAGGAGCTGGCGTTTGATACCTTTTGGGAATAAATATAGCCTCTACTTCAAAGGTATACATGGTGAGGTAGCCTCTGGAAGTCCATCTTCAGGTTAACAAAAATGTCAATAGGTCATCTAACCAATTTGGTTAGATGACCTATTGACGTTTTCTGAAGATGGACTTATTTTCAAGTCCGAAACTATAGTAGTGTAATACTGAAGAAGGATCACTTGACTAAGCCAGGTAACTTAAACCATTTAGCTTAAAGTTATACAAGTTGGTTTCACACCAACATTTCATGCACATATGAAATCTATATAATTAATACGCGAACACGAAGTTTGTCGGTTGAATCCTCCACCATTTCTAAACCGATTTTATCCACTGACGTCTCATTGGAAAGAGCGTGTTGCGTAGATTTGCAAACTGGCCTAAAATTTTTGAAACAGTCCCTTGGCCTCTGCCACAGTGGCTTTTTATTAAGTTCCCATGTTATCCTTACGAAGAACATAATATTGTTTACATCAGCTGTTTAATTTCATTGTGTTCTTTGTTTTTCAATTCAACGAAACGCATTGGTTACATTAACTGATTTTGTGGAAATTAAATATCTATCTATATATTACGAAAGCCGATTCTTTGCGTCAAAATTGTGGGCGACTGGGTAGTCGTAGAACGACGGGAGAGGGTTCAAATTAAAGGTCTCGATCCCGGAAAAATAGTGAAATTCCCCAAATTTTAACACAAAATTAGACATAACCTTTGACTTAGTCAATGATATAACGTAAAATGTTCTCCATAAGAATAGCATTAGAAGCCATTTGTCTGTTGATTTTTGTTTACCTCAATACAGCTGATCGTGATTTATCATTAAGCCAGTAAGCAATATTACATTTGGATTTAACTAGTTTGCCAGTAAATTCTGCAATGTACTGTATACTATATAAAACCAGGGATGACGTTACATACAATTGAGACTTTTGTCGTTATGTCTTAGAATGTTGAAATTAATTTTACTGTGCAATTTGCAAATTTGTGTATTTGTATCTAAATTAGCCAAGCGCATGAAATTTAGTAGAATCGTGGGAGATGGTTAAAATCAAAGTAAATGGAAGTAGAATGGCTGAAATATTTAAGCTTTGGTTTTTTTTAAACATATGTTCACGAAGTTTACAAAATTATTTTACTTTAATTACATTTCTTCACATTAGTAGGTTATTGTTGTGCTGAAGGAATGTTTAACATGAAATAGCCCCATTGACTAAACAATCAACGATGCAAGATTAGTTAGAAAACTTCTGTTTTGTTTTTATTTCAAAACATATATTGAAAATTTATTCAAAACTTTTGTTTTAAATTTCATAACATTTAATTTGACACGTAATTGTAGTGTTTAATCTATACTTTGTATCGAGTGGAATAACCTTAACAGTTACTCTAGAGAATAACCTGGGAATAAAATTTGAAATAGGTTTGTACAGGCAATACATATATTCCTTTCATTAATTACTATAACAAATTCCAATGGGCGGAAAAATAAAATTGTTTGGAGTAGATTTTAACCAGGTATCTACTGTCTGTTGCTCCAAGGAAAAAAGGTTAAAATAATATAGCCCAACATGCATTGTATATATATATACAATCTATATAGATAGTGAAGAGAGAATCTATAACAGTAAACCCTGGAGGTAGTTTTCGATTCTTCATGTTTCACTAACCAAAAATATGTACCTATATTAATTGCTGATGAATTTGTTTTCTTGATTGGTTTCATTAACATGATAATGGAACCCTAACCAATGGCAAAAGAGTTAGTAATCAGTCGATGATTAGCTTTTTTAACTGTAGGCTAAATAAATAATATAAACGGTAAAATGTTTTCAAACAAAATTTACATCCATTGAATGAAAAATAATATACTATTAACATGACTATAGCTGATATGGCTTAGCTGTCGGCTATCTGTACATTGCGTCATAACAGCAGACAGCGCTATGTTATTAACTTAAAAATTATAACGGATTAGCAAATAAATACTTTACTATGGTCTTAACAAACTATGAACCCACTGAACGTTTAAATTGGCCAATTTTAAAGAGAGTATAAAGTCAACCACAGCTTTAGGAGGAATCCCACCACATAAGCTGACACAGAGAGTAGTTTATATTTTATGTTGATCAGAAACGAAACTAGGGCAGCCTTTACACTAATTCAGTTGTGTCTTTACAAAAGGAGTAGAGCTATAATATTAGAAATAATAACTTGGCCAGGGTACTAATATGAGTACATGTATTATTGTAGCACTGTATCGATTCTGACACATAGATAATTTTATTCTTAGTTTGTTTAAATATTACAATAGTTTGTTTTACATTTGAGCTTTTTAGGGACTTATGTCCCTACAAGCCACTAGTTGATCAATATAAAGCCCAAAGTACACATGAACTTTTGTGAAAACTACAAGTCATAACCCCATAAACCATATACTTAAAATGTTCGTCATGACGAGAAAACTAGCGCAAAACTATCCATTATTTCATAAACTGCCCTTAAAGGTCGTAATTGCTTTCCAAGGAAACATAGGAAAGTCATAGAACGCCACCAAGTAGCAGAAATCGAGATTTTTTAAAAATATTATCGTTATCATCCTATATAAAAGAAGAACACCTACAATATGAAAATTCCCACAAACAATGAACAAGGATGTTATCGAAAGTGCTACTATTTTGTAGGAAAAACGGACTTAACTTTAGGATGATTTGCAAAGGAAACCCCTCTAATGCCGAATTAAACCGGTACGGCAGGGACATTATAATGTTTTCATAAAAGTCAAGTGATATTAATATACTAGGATGTTCAAATTATTTTTTAAAGCAATCTTTGTAATCCTCGATTTGTTTTAGAGCAATATAGTTTGTTTTAACTAACGGCTGGTTATATATAAACTATGAAACTATGAGGTTATTTTATTTACTCTTATTTTGTCATTGATTATAGGAAAGAAGTAAGATTAGTAGAGATAATTAGACCACAGTTTAAACCACAGTTTTAACCTAAATTAATTAAACCACAGTACAAATCGAGACTCTGTACATGAGTCTTAATAAAAAAGGATAAATGCAAATTATTTTACTGCAACACTTTTCAAGGAAAGATTAGAAAAATAACAATGTTTACATGTTTTAATTCTTCGTGGTAGCTTTTTGTTTACAATTAATGTTTGTCTGCTTTAACTTTGCTTGGATTATGCCCGGAAATATTGATGTCATAAAAAGATGAATCAGGAATCACGATTTTAAATTACCACCACAACCTCAGCCGGGTTTTATACAAAGATAAACAGATGGATGACATAGATTGAACACAACGTCAACATTGACCTAGGATACTGCAATTAGACAAACCATCCTTTTATGAAATCGTGTTCAGTTGTGGTTACGTACAAACGTGAAAATATCACTTTTATTTCAATTATGAATATATTGTAGTTTAAATTAACTAATATGGGAAATTACAATGTATATTTATTCAATGAGGGTGGGTAATTATCAAGGATAGAACTGATAACAGTACAATTACAGTACGGATAACAAACATTGACAATTACGTCATTAGCTTTACTAGCGTGTTTACTTTTTA